AATGTTCTTCAAGTGTAGTGGAACCAATTTAACCTGGGAGCTGTGCTATAAGAGATACTTAGAAGGACATTTATTTACTCAGCAGATGTTTTTTGCAGTTCAACTGTGGAGCATGCACTGTATTTGGTGGTTAAGGTAACTTGAAGACTAAGGCAGTCAGATTGATAGAGGATGAGATTCCAGTGCAGTGGTTCTCAACCTTCCTAATGCCGTGACCTTTTAATATGGTTCCTCATGTTGTAGTGACCCCCAGTCATGAAATTATTTTCATTGTTACTTCATTACTGCGATTTTTGCTGCTGTTATGAATCGTAATGTAAATATCTGATATTAGGTGACCCCTATGAAACGGTCGTTTGACCCCCCAAAGGTGTCTCGACCCATAGGTTGAGAACCGCTGCTCTAATGGCTGAATCATGTGATGCTGGACTTTTCTCCGAAAGGATTCTAATCAGCCATTATAATCACGGTGTTCAGGGCTGGACGTCAGAACCTTTACAGGCTATGCAGGATTGTAAAATTAATTTTGACCAACACAGAGTCCTGTATTAGTAATTGCAGTATTTGCTAACAAAAGCTTTGGCAGTTTTGATCTCATTCTTTAATACAGAATGTTATGAGTAACATACATGGACCTATACTGGAATTGCCATATAAATCTTTGTGTGTGTGTGTGTGTGTGTGGTTAACAAAGTTTGTCCTAAAACAATACTAGTTGTGCAGCTCCTTTCATAGTTGAGTCTATGATTGATTGACATGAGGGATGGGGGAGCAGGGGAGCAATCCCCCTCAAATCCTACATCACTGCCTTCTAATGAGGTGACTAGAAGGCCTTTTCTGTTCAGGAAGTGTTTCTGCTCAGTCACTCACAGAACCATCACAAAATCTTGAATATCAAAATATAAAATATTTTCAAAATGAACATTTCTAGGCTGTTGCTCCTGACACACTTATCTGTATTCCTTCCTTGAAAAATTCCTATCCCATCAGGAATTTTCGGCTCTCTGTTATTTCTGGAGAGTTAAAGAGAAGCAAGAAAAAAGGACCATGGCTTATCCTTTTGTGAGGCTATTAAGGGCAACAAACATCACCGGAAAAGGATTATAAATTGCTAACAATACTATTGCCTCTTAACTGCACTTTTCTCTTGAATGAATGTTTCAGTAAGTGCACTCAATAGTTAAGTAAAATATCTTTACTAATTGATCCTATAGTGAAAAGTGGTCTAGCATCCCAATCCAAAGCCATTATTTTTCCATTTCCCCCTGAACTTTCTAGAATAAAACAAAAAGTTAAGACTTGGAGAAGATTTTGAACGCAGGATGGAATGGCACACCTTACTGGAATGTGTCTTCAGATTGCAATGTGAATGGTCTTCTAAACTATTTAGAATGAACAAGTCGTCTTGTTAGGCTTTTATCTTTTTTTTTGGCCGGGGCTGGGTTTGAACTCACCACCTCTGACATATGGGGCCGGCGCCCTACCCTCTTGAGCCACAGGCACTGCCCAGGCTTTTATCTTTAATTTCCATATTTTTAGGTTGTGAACACTGTTAGTTGACACTGGTTTTATTTTTCTGCATAGAATAATGGTAGGATTTAGAAATAATCTATTACAACACAAGTATTCTGTGGCTACCACGGTTTTGTTGATTCTCTTTTGGAAGAGCACAATGGAAATATTACACACAGAACCTGGGCACGTGCATGGGGGCCATTGGTCTCCTGAGTTAGAGAGAGACAATGCAGGCCAGATTGCTCTCTGCACCCTCTAGGGACTTGGTTTATGAGCAATCATTATGCTCACCTTCAATCTCCTTATAACTTTCTGGCTATTCTCAAAGACATCACTACAATGTGTTTTTACCTAAATTAAAACTGAGAATAGACCTTAAAGCCTCTGCTCTACCAGGTGAAGTCATTCTCTTTGGCAGGGAAAAGCCTATGGGAGAAGTGCTCGGGACAGTCTTGGCACCCACCGATTTGTGGGGAGACTTCTACGACCTTCCATATTCTTAGGGATATAAGCCAAAAGATTATGTCAACATCTACCCAGACAAAAGGTCCAATAAGCACAAATAAGACACATCAAAAATCCACCCAAAGAAGAAAATGTGCAATACCATTACTAGAGCGAGGGGCAGGGGAGAGTTGTTTTATTTGAAATGTGGGTGAAATTCTTTTATATCTAGGGGAAAAGTAGGCAGAGAATTCCTCTGACACAATGTGGTTTTCTCTGCCATGACATGTACTCCTGCCAGGAGGTTTGCTGAATAGGATAAAATTCCAGCTCCTTATTTTAATTTTCATGAAAGGTAATGCTGGGAAGCTGTTCAAAATTAAAAATAAATCTTTCAATAAGGAGACCTCCTATGTGGCCAGCCAGAAAGCTTTCACTTAGGCAAGAATTGTGTATGTGCTCAGCGCTGCCTTGTTATCCTGCCATAATTTGAAGTTCACTAATTCAAAATCATCAGGATAGTTTATCTTTCATTAACAAACCCTTTCGCCATCATAGTGCAAATTAATAACGTAGGCCAAAATTCTGGGTGAATGTAGCAACCATAAACTCTATCAATGCTCCCCTAAGCATATTTGCATACATGCAATTATATTCTAATTGTAGTTGTTCCTATCATTTCATTAAATTAAATTCCTTGAGGACCACTATAGGCAATGATATCTCACTCTGTAAGGAATACACAGAATTAATGAATGTTAGCATTTGGCACCTGGAGGCCACAAAGGTTAGCGACTCTCCATCTTTGCTCTGTTTTCACGGGGTTCTTTATCTTATCAGTAACATGGTTTAAAAAATAAATAAAACCAAACACACAAGACCTCTTAGAATTCTTGGTCCTCTGCTCCCTACCTTTGAAATGTCAAGAGTCGGGAAACGGCTGCATGAGGGTGAAGGGACTCACCTAAGCTAATGTCAGCACCAGCACTTGAAACAAGGGAGAATCTTACCCGGGAAAGTGGGAAGTTCCTTTCTTTGGAAATCACTAGATAATTAATAGCACTTGTGTACTCAGCTTGGCATCTCCTTGTTTGTGAGACCAAACTAAGGGAGTATCTAGGCATGGAGAGTAGATTGAACTGGGCTTTGACGGTTTAACTGTAGTATGTGGCGTGAAGGGTTATTCTAACCCAAATCTTGCCTTTGGGCTTTAAGGGTCTAATAAACACCCCCCCACACACACACACACACTTCAAAACCAACTGACACAGAATACCATCCTTATTACTGATAAGCTGATGGAAAGAGGTGGGCTTTATATCTGTGGCCAAAAGGAATGGTTTCAGTGTCATTTGCAGCCCACTTGGGTAACTGTGGACTCTGCATGTGCAAAGCCTGCCCCACGAGGGTGGCTGGAATGGACGCTCTGCTGCGTGGGTAGGCAGGCGGGGAGGTGTGACAGAGCAAAGCAGGCTGAGCTAAGGGCATAGTACTTCTCCCAGATTCTCCAATGAGATAAGCCACCCTCAGCCTCACCCTCCTGCCAGAAGCCGTGAAGGAGGAGGAGGAAGGAGGCACAGGTAAGGGTGGAATTCCCTGAAGTCCTACCACAGTAAAGCCCAAGAAGAGCAGCCTCGTGGACCTCCCCCACGAGTTCCTTTCCTCTATGACAGGCCTGAAGAAGCACAATCCGATCTCACTTCTTCCACCTCCTATCCTGGAGCAACTGCCTTTTGTTTAGAAGATTGCCCTGCTGTTTATGAAAAATGGATAAGCAAATTGCTGGGTGATTTGTTTTCCAGATGGCTTTCTCTTGGTTTACTTTTACTTAAGTGAACCATCTCAGGCAAATGAGTACAGGATGTGTCACTAGGAGAGAGAAATGCTGTATAAATGAAACAAGGTTTCCTGGCCAAGCAACAGAACTGAATATTTTTTGTTAAAAACGCTGTGATGGCAGCCAGCAGCAGGTTCTATCACTGAATCCTTTTTTTAAGGATTTTTTTAAGTATCCCCTACTGCCTGTGCTCTCAGTGGAAGACCAGGTCATTACTCTGGTGGGGTTCTTTTAAATCATTATGGATCCACCCCCTAAGAATGATGTCTGCTATTAACCCCAAATTGCACCCAGGGGCAGTGACATCAATTTCTCATTTTTACTTTGCCTGTGACACTGTTCTAGGTACTTCGCGTCCATTCATCTATCTAGCACAGCCATAGTGTCCTAGTGACAAGTGAACATCTATAGTACTCTCAGCTGGAAGGAGTTACAGTACCTGATGGATTACATAATTATTTAAGCCTGACTATTCTCTGAAGTCTTTTCCAGTTCTGACATTGTACGATTCTAAGTCTATAAGCAAAAGCTATGAGCTAAGAATGTGAAGGAGGGAACCTTGTTTTCCTATGATGTTCAGAAATGGTCTCAAAAGGTAATTCCAAAAGGAGGGGCAGGGCAGGGGGAAGAATGTCAAAAATGCTTCAGCAGAATTAACATCTAAGTTCTGCCTTTCCTCCCCCCGCCTTCCAATCCCTAACTTTTCCAAAGTATTTTCTTTCAGGGGAGGAACAATGATATAATGTACCTCTAGTGCAGCTGTTCTCAGTCAGGGATGATTTCTGCCTCCCACCCCCAACCCTGGCATTTTGGTGAAAACCAGACATTTTTGGTGCTGTCGCATCTGATGAGGAGGCACCAGGAATGCTGCTGAACGTCCTATCATGCACAGGACACCCTCCCCAGAACCAAAGAATTCACTGGTGCA